CTTAAAACAAGCTATTCTTAGTATTTCCATAAGTTATTTCTTAACCACTTAAACTGTAACTTCCCTAAAGTTGCTTCGTAAGTTTTGTAAGACTTAAATTTTACTAACACTGTCTTAATTTTATACTTAGTCTTAGCTGAAAGGCTTCAAACATTTTCCTTTTAATTCTAATTGAAGCTGAAGCTATGATATCCCAATGAATTGTGGCCAATGAAAGAAACCAAACAAAAATAGGTAACTTAGAAATAGAACTCTTCACCATACTTTTTCTTTATGAATGTCTTCGGAAGTTTTTAGCTAATCAGCTGATAATTACTGTTTGTAAGACCAGAGTATGTTACAGCCTAACAATTTTGAAGAAAAGACGACTGATACCAAAACACTGAGTTATTTTTCTACCCAAAGCAAAAAATCAAATGAAATAAAAGACATTTCCAGAGTGTGTAATGCTTATTGTGAAATTTCCGTAGGTCTGACGAATGACACTTTCCTTCCTAAGCATGCAGTGGAGTGAAGCAGAAACAGGGCAACAAATAAGGGAAAGCACTGGGACTAGGGAAAATCTCTGTGCCACACACTCCCCAAACTCAGGCCCCCGGGGACTGAATACCACTCTGGGATAATTTCAAAAATGGGGCGTAAAAAGCTGAATATAAGAATGGTATTTATCTTATATAACATGTAATATCAGATACTATTCTGTGCATGTTATAAATGTGAATTCACCTAATTAGCACAACAGCTGAAAGGAAGACACTGTTACTCAAATGTTTATAGACCAAGCAGCAGGTGTCCAATGGCTCGGTAACTTGACCAACGTCCCATCTTTGGATGGGGGCAGAGCTGGGAGCTCAAAGCAGCTGGTTGGTTTTAAAACCCTGGCCTGAACTACCCACCACACTGCACTGCAGAAGATCAGTTTGTCAGACAACTAACCCCAGCAAGAGTTACTGAAATAGCAAGCAGTTTCTCTATAGGTTGGCCTCATGATAGTTTCAACCCTCCAGAATACAGCTGCAATGAGAATGTATTTCATTAAAACAAAAGACAACCAAGGGAAAGAAAAGAGGAGGAAAGGGTTATGGAGTTTCTGAAGCTGTCAGAAAGTCCATTTGCTCCATGGGAGAGCCTACCTCCTTTATTGACATGCAATTTGAACAGGCTTAATGACTTGTCCAGGCTTGGGGAAGCTCAGAGACACAGCTATTTAGAAAGTAAGAGCAACAAGAAGCAAGAAGAAATGCAATTGACAATCACTGCCGAAGTGAGAGACAGAAAATTTACGTCTAGACACAAACCCTAAAAGTAGTCTAGACCTGCTTTAAATAGGAATAAAGCCCTAATAGCTGAACCGCAAATGCTACTGAGTGTCTCAGAACGAGAGGATGACAGGGCGTGGCAGGGAAGGGCAGCCCAGGACTACAGATGGAGGCCTGGTCTGGCTGCACAGAATCACGAGGCTTAAAGGCTCAACACATCACCACGAGATCTTTGCCAAAGCCCCCATGTGGAAGTGGTGTGTGAGAAGGCCCTGGAGAATGGTCAGTGGAAGGTGGGCTGCATAGGTCCCAGTGGCCAGCGCGCACAGACTCCTCCTTTAGCAAAGCTGAGCCCACCAAGCTGGAAGTTACGTGCCAGTGTGGTTCCAGCTGCCTACACGGATGATTTTTTTTTTTATACTGAGGAAACCCAGGACCTCCGCACTGTGCTACATCCTCACCATTCCCCACTTTCTTAAACATTTTTTTGAGATAAGAGTCTGGCTAAATTTCCCTGGCTGAGTTTAAAGTTGCAATTCTCCTACCTCAGCCTCTAAGAACCACAACCAGCTGTAGGGGTGATTTCTTTCTTTTTTCTTTTTTTTGTACCAGGGATCGAACTCATGACCTTGCACCTGCCAGGCAAGTGCTTATGCCACTAAGCTAAATTCCCAGCCCCAAGGGGTGATTTAAAAATAAAAGTTGATGGCACTATTCTGTGTTGCACAGCTTGTTGTAAAGATGCTGTTTGTCCTAAGTCTTCTTTGTAGCAAATTTCTTTAAGACAACTCTGTCAGGTCTTGCATCAAGATCAGTTGTATTTTTTCTTCACATGTGATGTATGTTCAGGCACAGTAGATGTGCAGTTGACTTCATACTGCCTTTTCTACTTTGCCTGCCAGAAGCTCAGGTTGAATTAGCAGCCCTTAGAGGAGCAATCATGCCAAGATTTGCCATGAAGTTTTAAGACTCCAATTTGTGCCTCTCTCTTCCTTTTTAAAAAAATTGTATTTTTGTATTCTAAATTTCCTTGAAAGCTACCTTAAATCCCTTTTAGAATAAAGACAAGAGTAAATATTTGAATAAAGGGTGAGTAAGCAGAGTTCAGGGATTGGCTAAGCATCCAGCTCATAATAAGCCAGGGCGGTGGTGGCAAACCTATGGCATGTGTGCCACAGCTGGCTGCTTACTATCATCAAGACCTTTAAAAGGTTCACCATCACTGTGTGAAGGTCTATCTCCTGATTTCAGCTTAGTGTCCTTTAAGTAAGTTACATTAATTAATCACTGTGATAATCATGAAGATATTTTATATTTTTAAAAATATTCTGCTTCTCAGAAGGAAGAAAAGTACAGAGATTGGCTAACTGGGAGTTAACGTGGATAAATTATATACCAAAAAATAACAATTTTGTGATAGTGCAATGAAAGGAATTCTAGCATTTTAAACCTCCTGCAGCGTTTTCACAGATCATTTTGCTCTGCAATGTAATCCATGCAACATTGAGTACACGTCCAGTCAAGCTCTTAGGTTGCAGAAACTGCCCCAGAGAAAATGTTTGGAACTGATTTCTATAAAGTTAAGGATTATGCACTCAAAGTTGTCGTCAAGAATGTGATACTTGAATTGTGTGTCAGATTTTATTAGAATGGTAGGTATCACAGCCATTTATCACAATAGTATGTTCTCATTGGTCATGAGATGACCACTTTGTTTTGAATGTTGTTAGACAACTGAAAAGGAAGTATAAAAAGAGTGCAGGAGTACGACATTAGATTCCAGAGGGGAAAGCATAAAAATGAAGAAGGAAAAGAAAAAGGTGAAGAGTTAAAAGCTGCAGCTTGCAGTTCAATTCAGGCAGAAGCCAATATCCAGCTGTCTTCACCTTCACAGGCACCACGTGAGCGCTTTAAAATGTCCTTTGGAGAGGCAATAGCACACACTCTGGAAAACAAATTTTAAAAGCAGCAGATGCTATAAAGGACTGATTAGATGTTAAATGAATATAATCTGGCTAATACTTTTTAGAAAACAAATGAGAGGCAAGACCAAGTTTCCAGCAGCAGCAGAATAGACTTCAAAGGTTTTCACAGACTGCAGTGCCAGCAAAATGCAGCTAACTGATTGCATTTGTAAGGAGAGGAAAGATAGCAACTGTCAAGAAATAATTGGTGATATTACACCATAAAGCATGACGAAAACTAATACATTTAAACAGAAATTTCAGAGCTCATAGAGCCAACTGAGCCACGGTTTTCAAAGTTGAATATTCCGAAAGACCGATGCTTATTAGCTAGAGATGTGATTGTTTAAAGCCTGTTGGGAGTCCTCTTACTAATGTGGTCAAGACTTATATTCTCTGTGACAGCCAATCTTTACTTTTAAGGGGAATTTGGAGCAGGTAGGTAACTCTGCTATGAACTGAATAACTGTGTCTCTGAAACTTCATTATGTTGAAACCCTGATTATCTTTGGGCAGTAAACAGGTTTTGAGGATAGAGAACTTGGGGAGGTATTTGTGCCATAGAAAAGGCAGTGATAGCTTTTGCTTTCTCTCTCTCCCCTAAGTGAGGGCCCAGAAAGGAGGCAGCCATCTGCAAGCCATGGAGGGACCACACCAGAACCCAGCCATGCTGGCACCTGGATCTCAAATTTCCAGCCTCTACAACCCTAAGAAGTCAATTTTTGTTTAAGCAACACATATTGTTCTGTTATGACAGCCCAAGTGTACTAAGACTCTTAAAGCAACACCGTATGCTTCAAATCCCAGCTCTGTGGGTGATTTTTGCCATGCTGCAGCAACATAATTAATTCAAGCCCTAAGACTGCCATTTCTCAAGATGACTTACTGTTATTAGTGAATGTCACTTGACAGACTCTCTCTCTCGATGACAATGCTGTTATCTCCACCATATATTCTGTTCCTAGTGTGTCACAGGTACCATGCTAAATACTCGACAAACATACTCCCATTTGATTTTCAGGTCTCCATAGCTAGGTGTTAATATCCTTGTTACATAAATGAAGAAACTGAAGTCTCAAAGTCCAGAAGTCACCTGATTACTAAGGAGCAGGGCTCAGACTGGAACTGAAGACTACCTGCTTCTAGACTCTGCACTCTTTCTATGCTACAGTGATGAAGGCCTCTTACAGACTGAGCTAAAACCTGTCAGTGTGTCATCACTTCCCAAAGCCATGTTGGAATTTATTCCAACACAAGCTGCTGCTCCTGAGGGCAGTTCACTGTATTCCTAGGCAGCCACCAAGGAGTAGTTCTTAGGGATGAAAAGATGCAGGAAGCAGGACACACTTTCTAACGTCAATCATTTTCTCCCCAAGAGAATGAGATTGAGAGGGGGCCCTTCTGGGGCCAGAGAGAACAGGATGGGATTAGAGAGTGTTCAAGGATGAAGATTCAGAGGTCAACCTCTCACTTCTGGCACAGGCAGAATCTTTTAGAAAGCTGCCAAATCTTAAGCTGAGTGACTTTTGGGTAAAGTGATGATCACTGAAACTATCATGCAGAAGTATACTTAAATGATAAGAATTATTGACGAATGTCCTTCACAGCACAAGTACTGTACTTTGAAAGGTAATTCTCAGGGTCCTGGCCACGGCCATTTCAGAGCATGGGCTAGAGGAAAGTTTCATGTTAAATTGTGTGTTCTTATTGTTTCCTAATTATGCACGTCGGTCTTTGGCCTCGACAATCAGATACTCAAAAGATAAGAAAAAATTACCTGGTGGTACTTCTTCAGGATGTTGTGCATCTCAGCCACATCCTCACTGGTAATGGTCTTGATGACGTATCTCTTGTCATAGGAAGTGTGAAAACGAGCCCCACTGCGTGCCTGGGAGTCATTGGGAAGGGGTGCGCTCCTGGTCAAGGAATTCTTCCCGGGTGGGTAAAGGGAGAAGGGAGAAGGGAAGAGAACTGATTAAAGATGTAGCTTCCTAATTCACAGGTAATTTGTCATCACAGCAAGAGCATTTGTTTGGAATAGATCAATAAGGAGTATTTTATGTTTATCGTAACTTAAAATGCAACACTTTCCAATGAAATGACAACGGCTTGGCTAAGTATCACGACTCTAATGTTCTTAAAGTAGGTTAATATCTAAAACTACAATCACAGCAGTAACTTTATTCTTTATTTTTTCTTCATTCTTTATTCTTTATTTGTTCTTTTCAGAGTTGGACAAGAGCACAAATTTTTCTTTTGAAAAAGATTAGGTTCCAGGTATGAAAGGAAATTATAGTTAAGAGTATATCCTTATATGTCAGGTATAGTGCTGATATTTTGCAGAGAATTTCTCCCCACTGTGATACGATCTCCACACCATGGTCACCATTACTACTAGCATCATTGGATAGATGAAGAGATGCAGATGAACCTCTCTAGGTTTGGAGAAGGTCATACAGCTAGTAAAGGGAACAGCTGGAATTCCAACTCAGGTTGGTTTGGCCAGAATACAAGGTTTCAACCTGAAAATCAACAAACTATTCAAGTAGCAAACTTGCTGCTTTTGGAGGAGACAGGAGCCTAGGACACAACTGCTCTCTCCAGAAGACTGGTTTGACCCACCTTCTACCCCTCATAGCCATTTTTGCACACTACTGACCCCTGGAGGGTAGAGAGCTCTGAGTAGGGACTCTGGGCCTCATTTTGTTCCAGTGTCTGGTTCCTGCTCCGCACACTTTAGCTAGGGACATTTGTCTATTTCTTCTCTTCTGCTTGCATCTCCTCTTTCTGGGAGTTGCCAGGAAATCTTCCCTGCTTGCCTCATCCTTCTTGTACTGGTCATCAGACTGGTGCGAACAGCATATCCCTGGCCTCTGAGGAGTCTGCTTTCCTGGCTGCTAACTGTGCTCTTCAGTAATAAACCTGTCTCTGGCCCCACTGCATTGTGTGGGGGACTCAAATGCCAAGATGCTTTCCCTTCAACTCATTCTCCAAAAGCGGGTACCTAAAGGCTCCAGTTCCGGGTGAACACCATCCCCTGGGACACAGATGCCTTTGGAGGAGTGGGTGGTGTTTATGTCCCATAGGTTTTCAATGAAAGGGTCCTTTTTTGTCTAGTACATTCATCCTTAGCTTCCTCCCATGGTGAAATCCAGCAGGACTGAGCCACCCCATGGAGAATAAGATGGCAGCAGTGCAGAAGCTCACGGAGGCGCTGGGTTTGAGGAGGGAAGTGACCCACGAGATCATCCTTGTTTCCCAGGAGGTACCCTGGCTGCAGTGGGGTTGCTCTGCTCTGAGGCAGCACATCTCAGACTGAGCTTTAGGCAGGTGCATCTGCCAACTGCAGAGCCAAGGCTGCCAATTAACTAAATCTGCTTTTCTTAGCTTATTAGAAAACTCGAGATAAAAAAGAAAATCAACATATTTCCAAGGACTTTAACCAGCAGGATTTGGGAGTGTTGAATTATCTATCCTTAAGACAACTGAAATTCATTAGATGAGTTGAGAATGATGAAAAGATATTTCAGGATAAAAATGCCTAATTAACAATAATTTAATTCTCGGTTACATTATTTTCTTAAAAATATTCTTTATACTACTTGCTGTTTAGAATAAAAAAGAAATAAAACCAAACTGAACGTCACTTTTTGTGGGTTTTAATGCTAGCAAAAAAAAAAAAAAAAAAAAAAAAAAAAAAAGCACCACAGCAATTATTTCTCTTTGTTAATGGTCTCAGTTTTCTCTCCCAAACATTAATTTGTAAAAGGGCATTTACTGTCAGTAAAACAACAACTTGAGGAATTGTAAGACTGCAAATTAGTTTGGGGTTAAACCAAAGCAAGAACAGTCAACTTTGTGAAAGCCAGGTGGACAGACTGCAAACTTTAAAATGATGATACGTGTAAAACAATCTTAGGTGCAGGAAACAGTGAAGTATAACCATATGCAGTCAAGAATGGGACAGTCATCAGTCCAGTTTCATAGGCCATTTTCCTAGGCATATTAGATACTGGCAAAGTATTCTCTAAGGGGCTGGTGGGGCAGAATATGAGCAGTCATATGACCTGTAGTCAGGGGTCCTCAAGCTCAGTGAGCAGCTGCATCACCTGCGGGCTGGGTCATGTTAATGTGAAGATTCTGATCCTGTTTGGTTGGGATGGGAGAGGCAGAGTGGGATGATGGGGTGGTTCTGCAGGCCACATGGGAGAACAAAGGGGCTCCTGCATTCCTCCCAAATTTCTTGCCTTTCCCTTCAGTTTTAAATATGTTGTATAATCATTTGTTATTGGCTTTACATTAGGATACTGGCCATGGCTTAATCCCAGCATACAAAATCTTAAAATTTCTTTCTCTACTGACATTTCCAACAGTGATATGGATAGTCCTAACCTACAATTTCTACATCTAGTAAGTAGGGGGGAGGGCATTTTAAGGCTCCTGGGTTTCAAATAGTTATGTTAGAAACAATGTGTCAAAAATTTAGAATGTACCTTTCATATCACAATGAACATAAGAGAATGCCAATCAAATTAGTAAAAGCTTTATTTAATAGACAGGTACAAAATAGGAAGAGTTAATGCCAGTTTACCCAAAGTGCCTGATCATTTGATTCTAAGGTTTGGGAAAATCCAACTCATGATTTCATACATATGCACAATACTCCGGGAGGAAAGGAAAACCCAACTGAAGAGGAAAAACTGGTGTCCAGTGGAGATCAGTAGTATGTCTAACACTCTTGCCTAAAGCTTCCCCTCAGGGAAGAAAACCTGATGAAGTCAGGACCAAACTCTTGCCATTGTGGAACACCATAGACTTTTTGTAGCCTTGGAAATAAGGTAAAATTGTGTTTTAGAGGCAGGGAAGTGTAACGATTAGAGCGCTGGTCTGGCATAGGGAACATGCTCTACCTTCGTTCACGCACTGGCATGTCATTCAGCCCTCTGAGCCTCAGAGTCTACTGTAAACTGATGGAAAATAATTCCAGGAGAGAGGGCAGGCTCACGCAGACCTCTACCTCAGACCTCATAACTCTAAAAATGCATTTACTTCAAGACATGGCTCACTGCTCCAGGAGCTGATGGAAGGACAGGCCAAGGTGACTCAGAACACGTTTCCGAACAGAGTCCTAGCAAAGCCTGACAGTGGTTCAGGACATATGGCCAAGATGCAAGAGAAGATGACACTGTTTCGTTGAGCAGCATGAAAATAATATTCTAGAGATTCCCAATGTATTCAGGACAACTTTAGCAAGTCAAAGCACACGGGCTGAGGGAAGGAGGGGGCTCTGTGGGTTCAGAGTCCTTGCACAGCCTGCCAAGGGTGTGCTAACCTCATGAAGCTGACCGTGAAACACCTCGGGATGCTGTATTTGGTTGCAAAGGAAAAAATGTATCACAGCACTGCACAGGATGCTTGACAAGGAGGGAGATGGAGAAGAGAAGGATTATTACAACTGAGCCTCACAATCAAAGATCATGAGAAATGAAGTTAACCTTGGAGACTACTCCAGCTCACTCAGTTGGCAGATAAGAGAACAGACCCCGAGAGCAGAAGGGACCTTCCTGCCTTAGTTCTTTAATGGATCCACCTGGGACAGTATGTGGAGGCCTGGCTCTCTGGTCTGGCAGGCATTATGATGGGACAATTCGTATTGATTTTTCCCTGGTGACAAACACCTTCCAAGTCCAATTTAGAGTGTGAGTCTGCTGTCATTATGCTTTCAGTTTTGCCAGGTAAAGTGCACAGAAAATACTGCCAATAACACCCATGGCGCTACTGCAGCCTAGAGCCTGCACTTCCCCTCCTGTTAACTGTGGACAAAGCTAGCTCAGCTCATTCTAGTGCTGGCTGTCGCCTGCTTGTGACTGAAAGAGGCAGGAGCTGTCTTCTCTCCAGGCAAGAGTGAGACACACCTGTGTCTGTGGAACAGGCTTTAGAACAGGACAACTGTGTAGCACCTGGTGTGACAATTCATGCAGTGTAAATATAGTGCTGAATGAGGCCTGGCACTTGGTGCTTCCAACAAATCCTACAGATTGTGGTGACGATGTCAACCTTTAGAATTCTTCGCATCTCTGGCCATGTAGCACATTGCATCATGTCTATTCTAATTAGTTTGCACAGTCTGGACTACTGGAGATTTTCTTTCTCTTCCCACTGCAGGTTTCTATCTTTCAAAGATTGGTCTATTGGAAACTACATGGGCTTCCTGAGCAAAAAAATGCCCAAGCTGTAAAGACTAATTCTTTACTCTGGGAATGCTGACTCCCAGGTTACTTTCCTAAGCTAAGAAACATATAAAGAATAGGGAAAAAGAATTTAAGATGAAATTGGCAGGTTAAGACTGCATGGAAGAAAGTAAGCCAACAGAAGGCATCGTTTTAAAAATTCTTTCTTATCTTAGTCACTGGATATAAGAAGCCAAGTCAGAGGTTCAGATCAAATCTAACCTACGTGAAAAAAACACTATTTGTAGGGCTGGTTTGGTCATTTTCAAGATAACTTCAGTTTTCAAAGTAAAATGCTTACTTTCAGGCGCCTTTATCCTTATCTACCTGTCTGTCTTTATGATAAAGCTGCAAGACAAAATTACCTGAAAAAATGTACCTGGGGTTGGGAAAGACCTTGTTCATTAAGAACAAAAGCTTAGAGAGGAATATGTTCTGTGATAAGGTGACATTATTTAAATTTAAAATCTGGGACTTTAAGCCCACCAGTTCAAGAGTGATAGCAGGTTCTTTTCTACAGTAATAAAACTTACATTTTAAAAAGAGAATTTAAAACACTTCACAAAGAAGTTTCAAGTTGAAAGCTGCTAGCCCACAAGTCTTCCTTCTGTCCCTTTCCCTCTGCTCACTGCCCAGCATCCTCTCAAACTAAAGGAAAGGAGGAACCGGGGGGCAGGGGGGACACAATGCAATATAACAA